GGGTAATTCGACCCGTAGAACACGAATATCACACCGGTTTAGCGCGACAACGCTTGGCGCTCGCGCCACAGGCGCTGGCGCTATCACAACAGTTTTGCGCGGGCGCCGTAGCGCAGACTACAGGTACTACGGTGCTTGGAGCGAGCGCCAGGCGTTATAGCGGAAAATGAATTCACAGTCACAGACAAATTTCAATAAAAACCTGGCTTAGTTATCGAGGAGTGGGGCAGTAAAGGGTAAATAGTGTCCATTTCTGTTATGAAATTGCTGGCGTTCATAATATTGAAAATAAAACCTCATTTTTAGCTACAAAAAAAGCATTAACGAAAACAATTCCCACCTTCACCTAGCGTGAAGTCCCACTGATCAGAATCTTGACGGGTGACTTTCACGTATTCCGGCTGAAAGACGTATTTTAATAAACTTGAACTAAGCGAAGGAAAATCGACTAAATGTTACCTTAGCGAACTCCACTTTCAACGTACAACATCCCGAATAGATATCTGCACCATTGATTGCATGCTTGACCTTCTTCGCATTCTCGGCACTTTCAAACTCGACTAAAGCTTGCATCATAGACTTTCGAACAATTGCTATCCTCAACACCTTTGCATGCGGTTCGCAGATTTGATGAATGACCTAAAACAGTCCATTATTGTAATGATGCAAAGCGATAACAGCAGACAAATAGAATACAGAGATGGTAGCATTTTTCACTAGATTCCTGCTAGAAGCACAAACAAACAGGAAATACGCTCTCTGTGGTCTGTTAAGCCGTTTCCTCGAGAGCTATGATTCTGTTTTGCCGCTATTCAGGTCCCTTACCCTCTCTGGAAATGACCCCTGCACTTTCTATTCCTGTGAATTTTCGGCACTATTCAACTATTACACCCCAAAATCTCAAAATTTTATTTTTCGTCGAAACTTCGCCTATAGGGGTAATTCGATGCCCTGATCACGAAAATGAGGTTCATTTTTGGCGCTGGCGCCATTTGGCGCCAAGGGTGTTTTCACCAAATTCGCTGTAAACTTGCACATAGGGGTTATTTGGGTCCTGATTACGGATATGTCATTCGTTTTTAGCATTTCCACCGTTCAACGCACATTT